AAAAAAAAAAAAAAAAAAAAAACTCTGACAACTAAATTTATTCATCTCTTTCATAGTGTATCAAAAATCAAAAAAAATTGTTAGAATCAATTTTTTTTTTCTGTTATCACTGTGGTCTCATCAATAAACCACCAATGTAAGATATTATAATTTTATAAGCAAAAAAAAAAGGCAAAGAAAAATTTGCCTTTAAATGATCAACGAGCAACAAACAGAATAGGACAACAACAGTGATCCGAGAAAGAAATCTTTCTGTTTCCTAACATAGACAATACACTAATTAAAAAATAAAAAAATTTTTTTTTAATTCTTAAATTTTGTATAAATGATAACAATGACAAATTAGTAAAAAACAGAATATCATTGACAATTTTATGTTTTCTTATTGGTTTCTGAAATAGACCCGCACCAATACGGTGATGACGGGCGATGGCTGTCATCAGACTTAGTGACAGTTTATAAATGCAATTATACATTTATTTTCAACCCCCCTGTCTTCGACTTCCGTTCGCTTTTGCAGCTTCAGACGATAATAGGAAAAAAAAAAAAGAAAAAGAGAACAATTTTTTTATATTTATCTATTTGTTTGTTTGTTTATTTATTTGTTTGCTATCAACTGGTAAACATGTAGTTTTTTTCCTTTTTTGCTTATTCTTATTTGCCAAATTTACTGCCATTTTGATCATGGCAGCTGGTCGAAAAAAAAAAAAGAAAGAGGAAAATGAAGCACTGAAGCATAGCTTTGTCTAAACTAAGCGTGTTTAATTGATAATTGCTTTGAATCTTTCTGTTCAAAGCGTTACATCTGTCAATTATTCCTTTCGAACATTTGCCCATTTGTGCATTTGTGTGGTATGGTGTGTGTTTTGGTGTGTGTGTGTGTTTCTGAGTTGGGTTTTGAAGATTAAAAAACTGCAACATGAACAGCTTGCAAAATATTTCAAAATTTCTTTCTTTTTTTCTCTTCTTTTTCTTCTCTGTCTTCTATATTGCTTAATGGAAAATAAAACAAGAAAAAAAAAGTACAAACTTTATTACAGTTTAGGAAAACTACGTTATTTGGATGCCAGAATAATTGCGATTCGTTGTCGTATTTCATTGCAGTCTGCTACTACTGTACCCACCCTATCGATACCTTATTGATAAAGCTGGCAAAGCAACAACAAAGAAAGGACGGAACAGAAGCAAAAATAAATGTGAAAATTTCATGTATTTCAAGTTAGAATATCATAAAAAACTTGGGACTTTTTTTTCTGGAAGGGAGTGTGGTAGCGGAGGAGAGGAAGAAAGTTTTTCAAGATTTAGCAACAAAAAATTGTTGCTATTAAAACAACAAATATACCAAAGGAAAATAAAAGCAGGAAAAAAAACGATAACATTAACAATTTCCGCTTATCTATAAACTGAGCCGGTCATTAATGCCGCCTGTTGAAAGTTGGAAAGCAACCAGCAGCAGCAACAACCTTTTTCAACGTTTCAGTTTCCGCTAATATGTTCCGATTTTAGTATCGTACGCGTAAAAACAGAAAAAAAAAAAAAAAGGAAAAGAGGAAACAGAAAAAGAAAACTAATATGTTCCTAACTGAAATTATAGACCGACCACCCGTTGGAAATTCTTTCCTTTTTTTTTTCTTTCTTTTTTTTGGGAAGAATACGGGTGGTTGGAGGATTGGTAGGGTTGCTGTACAGTTTTTGATGGTGGGTATAGACAAATGTTTTGCAATTTTTTGGGCAACAAAACACTGCTCATCATATATTCACCAATTTGGTATCAACCATAAAAATACAGTCTTGATACCTGTTGACCAATTAAGCCGTTCATTAGTTTCATTAGTTTTACATTTGAATAACTAACAGATTAACATAATTTTCATCAAGATAATAACAAATATGGTTTAAAAAAACGTGCTCTGTAAAGCCTAAAAGTCTGATCTGATTACTATAGAAAATAAAAGGAAAGAAACTAAACATAATAATACAAGTAAAAAAAACGAACAGAATAATTAAAATAAACATTGCAAAAAGGTACCAAATAATGGTGAACATCAAAATGTGATTATAGAAAGAATAAATCCGAAATAACACACCAACATATAACGAAAAATAAAAACAAAAAACATAAACAAAACAACAATAACAAAAAAAAATTGAAATAAACAAATAAAAATAAAAAAAACCAAAAAGAAGTAGCAGAAGATAAAGGATGAAAAAAAATATGAAAGACTGATGCACCTAAACAGATGTTTAGGTAGGTTTTAAAAAGTAATAATTCTTTTAGGTACACAGATGTTTGAAAAAAAAAAATTTTATATTTCGATATATTTATACACGTCTTTGCTCATATATTATATATAAATATATATATATATATTTAATAACAATTAAGAAGACTTTGTTGTTTTTGTTACTGTTGTTGCTTTTTCTTCGTTGTTGTTGCTTTGCTTTGATTTTTATAATATACGTTATGATAATGCCGAAAAAAAAT